ATTATCAAAATATAAGTTCACACTTTTCATTGACGAAACTACTTTTTTAAGATTTCCCCATGTGGTACCTCAATTTTATTTTTGCTGACAATTTTGTCAGGCTGTTAAGAGAAAAGCATAGCTGAAATTGAAAAATAACTTAAATGTCAAAAGTAATAAAAATAATAAAACTTTCTTCTATTCATCCAAATTACCAATCACCAAATATCGTCTCCTAATTTTTTGTTTCAATTTTACAGTCTGACAAATACATTCCTTCCACATGCAACACTGTTCTTGATGACATTTGGGCATATTTAAGTATCCTACGAGCAATAGCTGCCGTATGCTTTATGAAAACACGAATAGCAATGACAGTCATCAGCCGAGGAATAAGTAAATAACACAGCGTTCGTAAGGCAGCCTTTCAACAAATCCAAGTTTCCAAGTTCTTAGCCGTTTTTTTGTAAGGTTTACACATCTGTTAACACTATATATTGTCTGTTGCAATCCACAAATATGTTTTCTTTCCGTTTAAAGTTCTTTGAGTTCTTTAAAAGAAGATTTTTTAAGTTTTTACTTTATGCATATAGGGAAAATCAATGACCCCCCGAGGCAGGGCCAATTTTGACTCCAGGGCTTTTATTTGAACAAACTTGGTAGACACTCATTAGAACATATTTCATGCTAAATATCTTAGCTCTAGCTCTTTGGGTTCTTTAAAAGAAGATTTATTAAGTTTTTACTATATGCATATAGGGAAAATCAATGACCCCCCGGGGCGGGGCCAATTTTGACCCCAGGGCTTTTATTTGAACAAACTTGGTAGACACTCACTTGAAGATGTTTCATGCCAAATATCTAAGCTCTAACCGGACGAAAAGCGATCACAAAAGCTCACCCTGTCACTTTGTGACAGGTGAGCTAAAAATTTGGCAAGGCAGAGTTATGGTTCTTGTGCACTGCACACCTACTCAATGAGATCTATCTACCTACAAAGTTTCATGTTGATACCTCTTATACTTTTACAGTTATGTCTTGGACAAAGTTCAAAGTGTCAAAATAAACAAAGGGGAATAATTCAAAAATTAGGCAAGTCAGAGTTACGGTTCTTGTGCACTGCACACCTACTCTATGAAATCTTTCTACCTACAAAGTTTCATGTTGATACCACTTATAGTTTTAGAGTTATGTCCCGGACAAAGTTCAAAGTGTAAAATAAACAAAGGGGAATAATTAAAAAATTAGGCAAGACAAAGTTACGGTTCTTGTGCACTGCACACCTACTCAATAAGATCTATCTACCTACAAAATTTCATGTTGATACCTCTTATACTTTTAGAGTTATGTCCCGGACAAAGTTCAAAGTGTAAAATAAACAAAGGGGGATAATTCAAAAATTAGGCAAGGCAGAGTTACGGTTCTTGTGCACTGCACACCTACTCAATGAGATCTATCTACCTACAAAGTTTCATGTTGATACCTCTTATACTTTTAGAGTTATGTCCCGGACAAAGTTCAAAGTGTAAAAATAAACAAAGGGGAATAATTCAAAAATTAGGCAAGGCAGAGTTACGGTTCTTGTGCACTGCACACCTACTCAATGAGAGCTATCTACCTACAAAGTTTCATGTTGATATCTCTTGTTATTTCAAAGTTATGTCAAGAAAAGGGGACGGACGGACGGAAAGCCGGACGGACGGACATTTTAGGCGGCGACTATATGCTCCCCCGAAATTTTTTCGGGGAGCATAAAAAAATATACGACGCTCGCAAAAATATGCGTCACGGAAAACGCACAGCTATAATATTACCATGTCAAATGCAATAGTACTGCGTCAAAAACGCAGAAAACACTCTCTAGAGTGTAGTGATGTAATTAAGTGAATATGAATGAACCAAATAAAGCTTGATACTAAGTCCTTATATATCCTGTATAAATGTGCTCAAGTTATTTCATAAGAGGTCATGACCTCAAATAATTTCATCAGCAAACAGCAGGTCATTCACATGTATGAAAGAAATTCCAACATGAGTTGTTTCCCTTTCATTAAACTACAATTTGAAGAAATGCCATGGTCTGGGGTATCTTAGCTTTAGCAGTCCCTAAAAGGAGCCAATCAAATAAATATGAGCAGTTTATATAAAAGATTACTATATGAATGCTAATAACAAAGTTTGGTGATCATCGATCAATAAGTTCTGTAGAAAAAGCTGTCTAAAGGTTTATATCATTACTAGCTCCCTTGACCCCTAAAAGGGGCCTATCAAATTAATATGAGCAAATTTGATAAAAGACTACCTAAGAATGCTACAGACAAAGTTTGGTGATCATCCATCAATTGGTTCTGTAGAAGAAGATGTCTAAAGGAATTTCTATTTTTAGGTCTAGAGACCCCTAAAAGGGGCCAATCAAATTAATATGAGCAAATTTGATAAAAGACTACCCAAAAATGCTACAGACAAAGTTTGGTGATCATCCATCAATTAGTTCTCTAGATATAGATATTTTAAGTAATTTCTTTTTTTAGCTTTAGCGGCCTCTTAAAGGGGCCAATCAAATTAATATGAGCAAACTTGATAAGAGACTACCAAATAATGATAGAGACAAAGTTTGGTGATCATCCATCCATTAGTTCAATAGAGGAAGATGTCTAAATGCTTTTTCTATTTTTAGCCCTACAGACCCCTAAAAGGGGTCAATCAAATTCATATGAGCAAACTTGATAAAAGACTACAGACAAAGTTTGGTGATCATCCATCAGTTCTGTAGTAGAAGATGTTTAAAGGGTTTTCTATTTTTAGATCTGTTGACCCCTAAAAGGGGCCAATTGAAATGACATGAGCAAATTCAAGTGTGACTGTCACAAAGATGCTACAGACCAAATTTGAAGTAAATCTGTCCAGCGTTTTCAGAGAAGAAGCTGATTGTTGACGCATGACAACAGACGACGGACGCCGGAGTATCCCCCTTTGATACTAATAGCTCACCCTGAGCCTTCGGCTCTGGTGAGCTAAAAACATGCAATAGTCACACCCAGGCATGTGACATTTTTACTCAAGCGACTTGACTTTTGTAGATAAACAACAGGCCATTGCTACATTTCATATAAAAGCTCTCTGGTTTTTATTTCAGAAGATATACATTGATTGATTTAAGAACCACCAATGTTTTGTAAGCTAGCTGGTAAGCTTCCTCACATGGAAGAATCCAAAGTCCTTGGCCGAATTCAAACCCTCAGCGGCGACAGGCAAGTGGTTTGAAGTCAATGACCTTAACCACTAAGCCATTGGAGGTATCTACTTGTGTCTTTACAGGAAAATTGTTGTTAACCTTTTCCCTTTTATAAGCGTGTTTCGACGGCTTTTTGCCCCCCCCCCCTTTTTTTTGAGGTCTCAAACAGTGAAAATGCCCTATTTAGGCCCCAAACACGGTTTTTCGTTTGAGAAATGTTGTTAATAAAAGTGACCACTTTTTGGGCGCCGTCCCCCATCCAAATGTTACATCAGGGGGTTGCCAGAAGGGGGATGTGCCCCCTTCTGTTTTGGGGGGTTGAAGGGGGGCAGATTCCCCCTCATCGCCAAGAAAATATTGGACATTTATAGGGTAAAAATGGCCTCAGGTCGATCTTAAAGTCTTAAAGTCAAAGGTCAAGGCCACAGTGTAAAATCATTGTCTCTCAATTACTAGTTAAATCAGAGCCCGAAAACTAGGGATGTCATTCGGAGTCCGGATATCCGAACGTTCGGATCACGATTCTGTGTCCAGAGCCAATTTTCTGATCCGGAAGTTCGTATAAAATATTTTAGAATATTGAGAAAATGTGATAAATACATGCGTTGAGATAAGCGTTGAGATAAGCGTAGACATGGTGTTGACACCATATTGTATATTGTACCTTAGTTTGACAATACACATCATAATCTCTGCAGACCACAAAAAATCAATAATTACGAGTCAATTAAGACACATGTTGTTAATTAAATCGGCAACGATGTTACATTTTTATGTCCAAATTTAAATATTTAATTAGGTTATTATTTTTATATATATTTCGGCTTACCGACCCGTCGACACCTTATTTTGAGACAATGAAAAATCTGCAGAAATAAAATAATCAAATAAAGAAATGCACTTACGAATAATTTGTTAGTTATTGCAGCTTTTATAGAAATTGGTACGAAAATTATCCGACAAAATAACTTTCTCCTTTAGTATTAATCAAACATGTGCATTTAAAAAAAAAACACTTTCACCAGTAATGATTCAATAGGCATGACTGACTTATATTCGAAGCATTTGGCTCACTTCTTTTTGAGAACATACAACAAATATACAAACAGTGTACCATTGATGGTTTACCTAAATTGTACAGCCACAGTTTAGCTCGCAATGCAAAAGTTAAAATATACCATGCTGAACATTACATTTCATTAAGACAAACCGATCAAGGAAATTCATAGTAAAACATGACATCTATAGTTATCTAAAGTTGCTGTTGTCAGCAATAAAAATCAACAAAAACAGTGATTGATAAACTCATATACCCCTACCCTGATTCTTGTCAGTTTAGGCAATTTGCCAGAAAGGTTTACCCATAAACTATAAACTATGTGGAATAAAATTGTTAACACAGTTATATAACATGACAAAGTCATGAACTTTTGTTCTTGTCAGAAAAAAAAATTGCGTTTGCTTTTTTAGCTTATTAGTTGCATAATATCAGGTGATTGCAATTTAAAGCCTATGGATTTGTTTCTATATTTTATACATGATCAAACTAGAGCTACCACTGGAGTGGTGAATATCCCTCACTTGGTCTCTATGGCACATGATATATTACAATATGTAGTGTAATTTATAAAAAAAAATTTAAGAAAACATTTAAGATTGAAAAAGAGTCATTTAAAAAGAATGAAATTTGTAGATCTACTGCAGATATAAAATGTTTGAATTTTGACCTTCAATGATGACCTTGACCTTGCAGAATGGCAGCATAGGTTTGGCACTTGGCTTGTTGAGGTGAATATTTGAGCCCAGTTTGAACAAAATCCTTCCAGTATAGGATTTATAGATAAAACACCATAAAAATGGACGGACAGACTGACCAAACTACTGACTGACTGACAAAGGGCCATGACAGTGATTCTAGTACAGTGCCCTCCACATAATGTGGTTGAGTATAATTACCATGTGTGATATATACCTTCATTAGATGGATCGTAGCAATGTTGAGGATCTAAAAGATCTGCTAGTTCTGTGCAGTCAACATTTTCATGTCGGAGCGCTAGTACAAGCTGACGAAATCCCTCCGGTCGCCTTTCAAGATGACTATGTAGTACTTGAGCTGCATAACTTCTAGACACAGATCTTTGTGCAGTATCTACTGTGTCCTAAAACACATAAAATTATCCTTGTAAAACAGTTACTATGATAAATATGCTTTAAAACAAAACTTGAAAGTTACTCTGATTTTTTAAAATTTGCAGGAAAAATTTATCTTTTAAAATGTATACCCAAATCCTAATTGGAAAATTTTTAATGTGTAATGGTTTTTGATCATTGATTAGATAGCACTTTTAAGTGTTGAAAATTGAGTACCGCTCAAGCCAGTGCTAAGGGCTTGAGGGATGTTGCACTTTTTCATTATCAGTGATTTTTTATTTCAATTTTCCAAACAACCTGTGGCTTTCTGAAGGGGAAAATATAACACGATAAATCAGAAATGGGGGAAAATCTGAAATAAACTTCAGACAACTGAAAATGGAATTTTCCCACAAATTTTATAAAATTTTCAATTTCAGTTCAATTTAACATGCATGGTACATGGTATCTACAGGGATTTATCGACTAGCTGATATGTTATAATTCAGGCGCTATTAAGTCATGGTTCTGGTGAGAAAGTGCACATGGGAAAATATTAGCATTTTTGGGGAAAATATACATGTACATGCATATTTTGGTCTAGGGGAAACAGTGTTTTTTGGCTGTAAAATACAGGGAAAAAAAAATTTATCCCTAGTATACAGACTCCATGAAACCAAGTCTGCAATTTTCATGTTGTCTTTTTTAGATGAATGTTTGGAGGGTTCTCACTTTATCAAGATTTTCATTAATCATCTGCATTAATGTTTGTTTGTTTGTCTTCTTGGAGTTTAAGTTCACTCTGACACTGTGAAAGTCATATTTTGACTTTCGTATTTCTACTTATGGAGAAAGCCCTAAGGTGCATTTACAATGTATTTCAGGCATGAATGGGCACCTTTGTAGGACCACCAATCTTCCATCACCTAGTCCAATAGCTTTCTCACATGAAAGAACCCAAACCAAAAGTGGTCTGGGGCTTGTGAAATCTGAAACATCAACCTCTTGGTCTATGTATGCTCTTTAATGCACCTATTTTTAGTCTGAAGTTATCAAATGAAGGATGTAACTATTTAATTTAAAAAAAAGTAACTTTACAATACAGTAAAAGAAATGGCTTCTTTATCACCAATCAAGGGTGGTAATTGTTTATAAGCATGGCTTCATTTCTTATATTTGGTTTCTGTGATATACAGACATTGTAACCAAAATTTCTATTTTTTTTGTTTCCTCTATTGTGTTCTTGTTCAAGACACACACATTTTTTTAAAATATGGACCAAGATGCAGTTTTTCATCAAATGACAATACAGTGTTACATTGAAAGTTCTGTGATTACCCTTATGAGCACATCTGGGGATATGTCTGAATTATAAATTTGATCATTTCTTGTTAAATGTTGAGTTTTGCTTTTAGCTGTTGCTAGGGGCGTAGATGGCTAAGCTTGCAAGTACCTGTACCGTCCATCAACTGTTTTAATCAAATCGAGCATTCAACATCTTGAATTTACCATTTTGAATGTTATTTAGGTATAACTATTTACTTTACACTTCAAAAAATCTATCATAACCCAATATGTGAATAAATTTATGTCAAACTTATTTTGCAGCAAGGCAAACCTAATTTAAGTACTGTATTTATCTATATCCCACCATACATACCCTACTACTTTTGGACAAACATGGCAAATATGTAAGCAGCTGCTGTGGGTCCACTTGATCCACAAACTTTGGTAAGTACCTTAAAAAAATCTCTTTGTGTTTTCTCTCCATTGTTTGGTCTGAAATTTAAAAATAATATCTTTAAAATATAAAGCTATAATACAATACATTAAACAAGAACCACCTCCATAAATAAACAACAAAATTATGACAATTTAAGTAAAATCCAATAGTTTGACCCTAAAGGTCAAGGTCATATCACAACAATCAAATTCGTTGAACTTATATCCCCTGCCGAGTATTGGTTATTACTAACAATAACTAACACAATAACTGGAGACATAAGGCTTTATTTATATATTTATACTAACACAATAACTAGAGACATAAGGCTTCATGGCAGTGAAAAAAGGTTGGTCAGTTCACGTCTTTACCTGTGTTATTTTCTTTGTACATGATAAAAAATCAGGGCCATAACAGGTCTCCCTTTGGTATTGATTGTTCCAATAAAGTTTCATTGAATTCCTGCTAGTAGTTGCAGACAACAGCATGGAAACAATTATTGCTCTATCAAATGCATACAGCATAACCATAAAGGGCCATAACTCTGTCTTGAAGGGTCTGACCAGAACAAGACAACGATATGTGCAACTCCTCTTGGCATTGATAGTTCCTATACAGTTTCATTGAATTCAAGCCAGTAGTTGCAAAGCAAATGCGCGGAACCAATAATTGCTATTTATACATACTCACTCAGCATAACTAATCAAAGGCCATAACTCCATGTTGAAGGGTCTGACCAAAAAAAAAAAAAAAGTGATATGTGCACCTCCTATTGGCATTGATGGTTCCCTTAAAATTAAGTGGAAATCCAGCCGGTAGTTGCAGAGAAATAGCATGGAAATGATTATTGCTCTATATGCATACTATGTAACTAATCAAGAGCCATAATTTTGTGTTGAAAGGTCTGACCTAAACAAGGTGATGATATCCTCTTTGATTTGATATTTCTGAAAAAGTTTTGTGGAAATTCAGCCAGTAGTTGCAAAGAAGTAGCGCGGTCACGATTATACTGCATAACTAATCAAGGGCCATAACTCTATATTTAAGGGTCTAACCGGAACATGGCAACAATTCGCTCAGCTCATTTCCCTTTGGTAATGATGGTTCCAATAAAGTTTCTTTGAAATCCAGCTAGTAATTCAGACGGACGGACAACACCAAAACAATATCCTCCTCCCTAATTCCATCGGTGTCACAAGGGATAATAATTCAACATGTTTGTTTGTCATGTGTTATTTTGTCTATATATAAATCAAATCTGTAACTGAATAACAAAGTTCTGACAATCTAAGTAAATTTCAATAATTTGACTTTGAAGGTCAAGGTCAATTTAAGGTCACGGTCATTTCCAAATACTTCAACAATTTGCTCTTGTCACAAGGGTTCTTTTGTACAAGTATAAATCAAATTCTTAAATAGTTCAAATTTATATCTAAAACTGTTTGTGTGGACTACATCAAACAAGAGGGCCATGATGGCCCTGAGGTCGCTCACCTGTATATAGGCCCACCCAACCCCCACCCCCCCCAACGTTGCAGAGCCAATTTAACCCAAGGGCTTTTATTTGCACAAACTTGGTAGACACCCATTAGAAGATGTTTCATGCTAAACATCTAAGCTCTAGCTCATTGGGCTTTTTAAAAGAAGATTTTTTTTAAGTTTTTACTATACACATATAGTTAAAACAATGACACCCCTGGGGCCAGGCCAGTTTTGACCCCAGGGCTTTTATTTGAACAAACTTTGTAGACACTTACTAGAAGATGTTTCTTGCTTAATATCTAAACTCTAGCTATTTGGGTTTTTTCAAAGAAGATTTTAAGTTTTTGCTATACACATATAAAGAACATCAATGACCCCCGGGGCGGGGCCAATTTTGACCCCAGGTCTTTTATTTGAACAAACTTTGTAGACACTCACTAAAAGATGTTTCATACTAATATCTTAACTCTAGCTATTTGGGTTTTTTCAAAGAAGATTTTTTAAGTTTTTGCTATACACATATAAGGAAAATCAATGACCCCCGGGGCGGTGCCAATTTTGACCCCAGGGCTTTTATTTGAACAAACTTGGCAGACACCTATTAGAACATGTTTGATGCTAAATATCTTAGCCATAGCTCTTTGAGTTCTTTAAAAGAAGATTTTTTAAGATTTTACAATATGCATATAGGGAAAATCAATGACCCCCCGGGGCGGGGCCAATTTTGACCCTAGGGCTTTTATTTGAACAAACTTGGTAGACACTTATTAGAACATGTTTCATGCTAAATATCTTAGCTCTAACTCTTTGGGTTCTTTAAAAGAAGATTTTTTAAGTTTTTACTATATGCATATAGGGAAAATCAATGACCCCCTGGGGCGGGGCCAATTTTGACCCCAGGGCTTTTATTTGAACAAACTTGGTAGACACCTATTACAACATGTTTGATGCTCAATATCTTAGCCATAGCTCTTTGAGTTCTTTAAAAGAAGATTTTTTAAGTTTTTACTATATGCATATAGGGAAAATCAATGACCCCCCGGGGCGGGGCCAATTTTGACCCCAGGGCTTTTATTTGAACAAACTTGGTAGACACCCATTAGAACATGTTTCATGCTAAATATCTTAGCTCTAGCTCTTTGGGTTCTTTAAAAGAAGATTTTTTAAGTTTATACTATATGCATATAGGGAAAATCAATGACCCCCTGGGGCGGGGCCAATTTTGACCCCAGGGCTTTTATTTGAACAAGCAAATTCGTTGAATTTATATCCCCCGCCGAGTACTGGTTATGCTGTGACCTTGACCTTCAAGGAAGCAACCCAGATGTTGCACGCGACACATCGTCTTAATATGGTGATCATTTCTGTGAAATATTTTTAAAATCCGACTTCAAATAACAAAGTAATGGACCGGACACACTTTTGCTGCAAGGTCATGCTGTGACCTCGACCTTCGAAGTAACAACCCAAATGTTGCGGGCGACACATCGTCTCAATATGGTGATCATTTCTGTGAAATAGTTTGAAAATCTGACTTCAAATAACAAAGTAATGGGACGGACACGATTTTGCTGCAAGGTCATGCTGTGACCTTGACCTTCAAGGTAGCGACCCAAATGTTGCGCGCGACACATCGTCTCAATATGGTGATCATTTCTGTGAAATATTTTTAAAATCCGACTTCAAATAATGAAGTTATGGACCGGACACGATTTTGCTGCAAGGTCATGCTGTGACCTTGACCTTCAAGGTAGCAACCCAAATGTTGCACGTGACACATCGTCTCAATATGGTGATCATTTCTGTGAAATATTTTTAAAATCCGACTTCAAATAATGAAGTTATGGACCGGACACGATTTTGATGCAAGGTCATGCTGTGACCTTGACCTTGAAGGTAGCGACCCAAATGTTGCGCGCGACACGTCGTCTCAATATGGTGATCATTTCTGTGATATAGTTTTAAAATCCGACTTCAAATAACAAAGTTATGGGCCGGACACGAATTCACGTACGTATGTAACGTACGGACGTACGGACGGACGGACGACCCGACGACTATATGCTCCCCCGAAATTTTTCGGGGAGCATAAAAACTAAAAATCAACAAAGAGCCATAACTCTGTTAAATTTGGTCACAGCGAAAATTCCTTCCTTTACTACCATCTACACATTAAGGTTGTTCATCCCTGTAAGTTTAAGGAAAATCTGCCATCCGGTTTAAGAGGAGTTGCGTTCACAAAATTTCTACATAGTATATAGTGAAAAAATCAACAAAGGGCCATTATTATTACCACTTCAGTGTGCAATATATTTACAGTGACAACTTAAATATTCCGAAACTACAGATGGAGAGGTATTTCCTTCTGTTTAAAAATAAATGCTGGGAAAAGCAGGGGAGACGGCAAGTTTATTCTAGGAGTTTCGTCAGTAGTTTTGATTAAACTTCATTATTCTACCCATATCAGCAATGCCCTTCACAGCTAATAAATGCAAATAGTGTTACATCCTTTTCAGAGCTTAAATGTCGGGAAAACTCTCAATGAGTAATTAATTCAGTCATTCACATAATCTCTACTCCAGAAAAAAATGAAGAAACTAGAAATGTGTCATCATGCCACGGATGCCCCCGCATGCAGCCAAAATTTCAGATGTTATAATATTTAGTTCCAAATTTGTTTGCACAAATTATTTTTTTAATTGAAACATAGAGTTATGGTTATGGGCAATTAAAGATAATTGTGGTTCATGTATGTTGCATTTCCTTTCAATGTGGTTGGCCATTGATGAAGTTTAATTGAATTACTCTGTAATAAGTCCAGAAAGACAAAGAAAAAGAACAAAGGGCAATAACTCTATAAATACTGAAGATAGAGTTATAGTTCTTGTGCACTGCACTTCCTCTTATTGTGCTTGACCATTGTATGAAGTTGTTTTGAATTCCAACCAGTACGTTTTAAGTTATGTTCCAGACAAGGAAAAGTATCAAAGGGCAGTAACTCTGTATTTTGTCAAAATGGAGTTATGGCTCTTGTGCACTGCACTTCCTTTGAATGTCCTTGACAACTGTATGAAGTTGTACTGAATTCCAAACAGTAGTTTTCAAGTTATGCTCTGGACAAGGAAAAGTAACAAAGGGCAATAACTCTGTAATTAGTCAAGATGGAGTTATGGTTCTTGTGCACTGCACTTCCCCTGATTGTGCTTGACCATTGTATGAAGTTGTTTTGAATTCCAACCAGTAGTTTTAAAGTCATGCTCTGGACAAGGAAAAGAAACAAAGGGCAGTATCTCTGTAATAAGTCAAAATGGAGTTATGGTTCTTGCGCACTGCACTTCCTCTCAATGTGCTGGACCATTGTATGAAGTTATAATGAATTCCAACAATTAGTCTTCAAGTTATGGTCCGGACAAAAGAAAGCAATGGAAAAGTAATAAAGGGCAATAACTCTGTAATTACTTTAGATAGAGTTATGGTTCTTATGCACTGCACTTCCTCTCAATGTGCTTCTCTAGTTATGCTCCGGACAAGGAAAATGCAACAGACAAAAAAAAAAGCAATGGAAAAGTAACAA